AATAGTCACGTGATTTTTTAAAATTTCGGGATCAGGACAAATCACGTGATTTCAGTCTTTAAGTGTCGCGCACTGTAGATTTAACAATATTCTCAGAACGCAAGTTTTCAGAATTCTTACGAAACAATTCGAGCAAAAAATGAGACAACGAAGAATCCTCGTCGTCTAGTGAAAAAAGAATTCGCCATAAAGAATATTATGTGGATATCGTACCGTCTGAATCGGTTTGTACTCAATCTGTATTTCCTCTTATAGTGTAGTATGCACTTATTCTAAGTTATCCCTTACAACTTATAAGTTCAAAGATCACAAAGACAAGGAAGTATGTGAATATGATGACGAAATCTCGGATGTCAATGCTATGAATTTTTCAAATAAAGAGGTAAAAAATATCTTTTCCTTACTGCCTAATTGGATTTTACCAGTCATTATGATCAAACATGTTTTGGAAGGCTGACTTTCTTTGTTAATCAAAAAGAGCGAAACTGAAGAAATTTCCCAACCAAAAGCTGTACAGGTGGAAAGTTATCCATTCAATACGTGGATTCTCTTAACAGAGAAAAACGTCTCTCAAGTTTTGGAGAACTTTAGATCAACAATTCCAAAATCAAAGGCTTACCTATAGTGAGCATTTATTTTAGTAACCCAGTTGCAAGATTCTCTCTAACATCACACATCCCAATGTTTATTTGCCAGTCCCGCATTTTTTGGAATACTTGATTTATCTGGGGAAGATACTGAAGTCAAGAAGCTTTTTACCGACGATGAATGGTCAGAAATGAAAGACGATTTTAGCAAAACAGTGGAATTTAAAGATATTAAACTGGAAGGGACTAATAACAGTGGTGGAGGAAATAATAATACCACTAGTAATGAAGCAAAACAGCGATCTCAAGAAGAAATGCTGTATGACTTATTTGATAAAATCGAAGAGGTAACAAGTACTCACATCTTCATTTTGCTCGTTTGATGATTTGCTGACTTTTGAACTCATTAAGGCTATTAGAAAGAAGCCAGATGATCTAATCACAGCGATAGAGAAATGTACAGATGAGGTATAATATTGATTTTATTACTTACTTTTAAATTTTGACTATTATTACTATTTGCGTCTTGATTAAAGGGAAATCCAAAGATCAATTCTATACGAAGACTAATCCAAACCTAGTAAGTTTAGTCATCTCCATTTTATGGCAGATAACATTTAATTAACATTTGATATATTCACCATATTGTATGGAAGCGCTTATAACCTGGAAAAGTTACAAACCTCAATCTCAGAGGCTATGTTTTCCAATAATTTTACGAACATGTTAACTAAAGGCATCCTGACGTATCATCGGAAGTTTATATATGATGAGTAAGGATATTGAAATTCCTGGTTTCGCCAAACTATATTCTATTTGTTAATAATAAAATATTTTGACATTGTTTTTCAGAGGAGAGATACAAAGTATTGCATCTGCATTCATTACAAATTCAACGAAAAAACCAACAGACAGGTCCCTTATAGGACAAAAGTGCAATTTAGGGTTACACGTGACAGATTTGAAATGGTAATTGGATTACGATCTGGGGGATTGCCAGAGGTATGTAAGTCAAAAAAGTTGGACGATAAGATCGATTTAATGGTCGCAATGCGTGACGTATTATTGCAGGAAGCAATCGAAAACAATGGAGTTGAGTGTACAGATTTTAAGCAATTATACACAATTGGGGTCCACTCATATGGTAAGATTTTCAGGAAAAGCACATCATCGACTGCTTGCTCATCTATTCAAATTTATAGGCTTTTTTTATAATGTATATGCCATTGACTGGAAGTCAAGAGGTTTGTGGAGGCTAGGGTTACTTAAAAAAATGAAACTACCACAGTCAAATGCACAACTACTAATGATCGAGAAATTAGTAGTAACATTGCTACGAATTGAGGTTTGCCTTCTATCTCACTGATACCAAGTTCATATGTCTGGAAAGATTCTTTTTGTTAATTAATTTTTCCTTTCTATAGTTAACACTCAATCATATTGAAAATATTCAAAATAACTTAACAGTAAAAGCTTCCCGATTACATAGAAAAGCGCGCACCTCTGTCATCCTTAAACCATATGCAGATTGTGAGCAACGTGTAAGGCGAATACGTATTCTAAAAGAAATGTATAAGGATTAGCATATTATGGAATAATAAAATGTTTCGCTATTTTTTTCGCTTATATGTATATGTATACAATAGAGCCTTTCTAAATATGTACAGTGTATGCATTAGAGTTTTTTTCTACCATTTGCGCAATACTTTGCAACACAATCATTTAACATAATATATAGCTTATTTTTTTTGCCATGATCGTTATAAAATATCAATAAAGTTTTACCAATGTTTTTTTTATTGCGGGGTATCTGTGCAACTAAATTTTGATATGTACAAAACTATTCTCTCAATTTGCCGATCATCCCATGATTTAAGTTTCGAGAAATTGGCAAGAGATACGTATTTTTTATGATACGTTAAAAATAATCCAACCTTCATGCATGTGAATATATGCACAGCGCTTTTGGCTAAATTCCCGATATGCTTGTAATCGAATAAAAATGAATCTGGTATTTTATTATAATATACTTGCTATAAATCACTATAAGTCATTA